GATTATGTCATGAAAACTTCCATAGATTGTGTGACGTAGAGCTTCCTTCTTACCAAGTATACTGTTGGATCAATCTGCTGTTACCTTCTAGGTGATAAAATTTTTCTGAAGCCTAGTTTATTAGTATAAAAAAATCTTACAAATGGTTTAATGACCAGATGGTTACAGTTAGTTAAATTCAAGCAGTAAATATGAACAGTTGGGACAAATGTGTCTTGTGTATCATCTCAGATATTACTAATAGTGTTGTAGTCAGAATGGTTTAAGAATGTAAGTAAGGCAAAGCTTGTTGTAGAGGTAGTATCTCTTATTCAAGCAGCTGATGTAGTTGAGGGAAAAATAGATATTAGATGCACAAGGGGTACTTGAGGTCTGAAAAATAATAAAGAATAGATTAGTCGTTAAAATATCTCCGTTACTATTGGATTTCAGTTTTAATGATAAATTTAGTGCTCTGCACTTTAAAAATCGGGGGAGAATATAAGCCACATGAATTGTCAAGAGTCTCCTTCTGCTGTTAACTGCTGTGTTTCCCCTTCTGTAGGTAACTGGGGCCCTCACCTTGTTGTTGTACGGAGCTGTAACATTCTGAAATGGGAGCTGGAATTGAAGCGCTGGTGCCCAGGGTTGAAAATACTTCTCTACTTTGGCAGCCAAAGGGAACTTAGGGCAAAAAGACAGGTACTGTGTTTTGCAACTGTTACACTGTTGTAGTTAGCTCTTCCCTTAACCTGCATTTATCTATATGTTCTTTACATCCTGATGGGATATGAGAAGTTTTTAGCACTTTTAAGTTGTTTTACAAATAGTTTCACACCTAACAGTTCTAGATTTTCAGAGGCATTTTTGGAACTCCCCTGGTGTTGAGCAGTACATGCAATACTTAACCTGCTTTCTGAACTGGACTGTCATTCGAAGACCAAGGACTGTCTTTTAGAGTGCTTTAGGTCATAGCATCTTTCTGTTCTTAGTGAAGAAACAGCTAGTTGTAAGATGCTTGAGACTTCTGCTGTAACTTTTCGTCTCATCCTCTCTTTCCTTTTCTGTAGGGATGGACAGAACCCAACAGCTTCAATGTGTGTATCACTTCCTACAAACAACTGTTCAAAGGCCACCCAGCGTTTATGAAAATGCGGTGGAAATACTTAATAGTAGATGAGATGCAACAAATAAAGAACATGACAGAGAAACACTGGGAGGCACTTTTCAGTCTCCGCAGGTATGGAGCAGAGAATTACTTTCCTGCT